GGAGGGATCGTTACAAGATGACTGGCAATAAATATAATTACTACGTTAGCATTATAAGTTAAAATCTGCTGACGCATTAAAGAAAGTAGAATTACCTATTATCACCATTATTAACTGCCGCTATTAATGCGTTCAATTTTTCGGTATTCTCAGTTTCCTCACCAAAGTTAATGATGTCCATGGCGACACTGTTCTTTCTCATCTTCTTTCCCAATTTCACTAAAGTCTTCTCGTCAGCTTCAATCGGACTCCCCACAAATACTATGATACGTTGATGTTGGGTCTTGTTTTGTCTATGTTTGAGGGCAAGCTGTTTGCAGAGTTTTGGGAAGTTATTTATAAAGTTTTTGCACAACATAAATTAAATTTTTTACCAACCTGCGCAATTTGAATGCCGGTCGTAAGATTTGCACGACCACCAATTTTAGTGTTATGCAGTGCAGTGAGAATCTTACCGATATCTGAAGTTAGAGTGACGAGAACTTCTGGACTAAAAATCGCCATTGTAGAAATCAGCATTAAGTGGATATTGAGTTTTTCTAGTAATAGTTGAGATTTTCATACCTTTTGCCAGCCATGGTTAACATTCCAACAGTATTTTCGGCGTTTGATTGGGTTTTCGTGCCGAATATATAGTTAACTGCGTCTTTCTGTGCCTCCAGGCGAGTAGGAGTGTAGTCACCATTACGCATCCATTCTGAATTATCCAACCTATTTTTATTATTATAGAACGCGAAAATTTAGTGATTTACGCAGACCCTGCATCACATAGGCTGTTTCTACTTACACTATCATAGTCGCTTCGAGTACCATTTTGAATCGTGGAATGAAAGGAAGATAGTTATTTTCCCGGTGATATATACATATTTGGTGCGATACATTACGTCACCGAGTTTTCACAAAAATGTGTGTGAACATATTATTGGACCAAAAAACTACTCTCTTTACAAAATTTTATAATGGAGGACCTCAATTTTGAAATCTCATCCGTTGTTCCCAGTACTGACCCCACATCGGACCCAACTACAGACTTTTTAGCGAGAGAACAAGCAGTTCTGGGAGATGACGCAGCACTATTTTCGACACCTAGCGACCCCATTGAAATCAGTTCTTTTCCTGATATTTCTTCATCAGCGAATGACCTTTTTGTTCCGCCCACTAGCTCTGTAACATTAAACAATACTTTACCTGATTACTCCGTCATTCATTCCGAATTTCCCTCAGTAGAGATTGAAAATACTCAGGTGAGCATTTTGATTACAGATGTGTGTAGTAATTTCAACCAATAAACGTTTTAATTTGTCCCGAGCAGATTTCTTATTCTGGTACCAACGGTCTGCTGACATCAAATGGACATCCAATATATCAAAATTTTGAAGAAGAACCTGAGGCAATTCGGTACAACAAAGTTCAGCAAAAATAAATTATTTCGAATCGTCAAAGTCCAACAAGTTTTATACATTTATAACTAGTATTAATTTAAAATAGGCAATGGAAGGAACGACAGAGAGAAATTATTTCTAGACGAGACCAAGAATCTGAATCTAAGAGGAAAGAGACAATCTTGATTGCACAAGAAGCAATTGACAAATTTTATGAAGAATATAATGAGAAGAAGGCGCGAGCACACAATGCCAACAAGTAAATTGAATTATTTTGATAGTCATATTTTATATAAAATAAATTATGAGCGTTTCACTAACAAATTCTTTTATGATAATAAAGACAAGAGGAAGAAACATTCTTACAAGAACGAGACGATCTCACCTCAGGTACAGCATGGGAACGTATTTGCAAGCAAGTCGATCTCTCAAACGCACAAAGTAAGTCGAACGTTAGACACGTCAAAGATGTCAGTCGATTTAGAGAATTGCTTTTGAGCTTGAAAAAAGATGAGAATTCACCGGGTGCAGGTGGATATTAGTGAATTTTTTCTTTTAATATTCTAAATTGGGATAATGGCAAGTTATTGGAATACAAAAGATTCAATGGAAGATCTGCGTTTTGATTTTATATTAATACATGTTGGTAATGGTGGGATAATATTACGGCGTGCAAGAATGATAAGACGCTGCGAATTTATAAAGGGACATTGATGTGATTTATATATCGTTGGTAATTGATTGTATAACAGATTAAAAAAATAATAATAGAAAATTATATCGCATTTATCTGTTTATGTTACGGTCCATTATCATAAGCTATATCATGAGAATGGTGGTGAGAAAGGCAACAATTTTTTCTATCGAAAAAATTATGAAAATTATGAGTTAAATTTCGAATTTTCAGGTTCTTAGGTTAAGTCTTAATGCTTTCAAATATAATTAGTTCATTCTTTATATACACACTATACCGGGTATTATTCATTTCTCCATGATTAGCTGATTAGATTAAAACATTCTTACAAAAATAATAGAAATTCATTGATGCATCTAATTTAACATTTGGTACATGAAATAAAAATTTGATTTCTAAGTTTATAATTTTTAAAACTATAGCACGATTTTCCTACATATGTAAAAAATCATATTTGACAGGATCAATGCTAATCTATGCTATGCTAGACTAAGGATCGAGGTTCCTAACGACTCTGTAAAATTTATTAGGTGGATCATGACTTTAATAGTTCAATGGAAATTTATCGCTACCAATTCTAATTTCTAGGTTCTTCATTTTAAGTGATGATCTATCATTATCTGTTATAGTAATTATTATTGAATGAATAGAATTTCATATCTTTCTTCTCTGTTAAAATATACAATATACAGTATATTTTATAATTTAATTTTTAATATAAAATTATATCAATATAAAACGAAATTAAAAATATTTATTTAATAGAACTTTAAAAAATAAATTTTTTATAAAATTAATATCTAATTATTTAAATAGTGTATACTGTATTTTATATACAGTAATAATAATTTCAAAATTTTTATTAACCGATTTACAGTACATCTTATAATTTAATAATTAGTTAAAAAATTTTTTTCTCATATGTATTACGGTGGTTCACGAAAGTAATAAAGCATCAGTTCAATTTTTATATTGAAAATATGATAAATATTAAACAAGTAATTTATTACTTTTGTAAGTTACTGTGTGTTGAAAATTAAAAATATTTATTTTATGTTAAAACAACAACAATAGTAATAATAATAAATAATTGTATATTATAAATATTATCACATTATTTAATTAATAAAAAATATTTTTTATTTACTATAAATAATTTAAAAATATAAAATTATCATTTTTATATTACTAATAAATAAACCATTGTTTTTTTTAAAAAAATAAATTATTTAAAATTATTTCTATTTAATATATTGTATTTTAAAAAATTTTTTTAAAATAATATAAGAAACTTTATTATATTATATTTAAATTAATTATTGTATATTTAACATAATAGTTTTACAAATTATTTATATTTTTGCATTAAAAAATAAAACTTATACATTTTTAATGTAAAATAAATTAATAAATCAATGTACTTTGATTTAAAATTAAAAATCAACATACTAGAGTGTAATTATACTAATGATCATATTTATGCAAGTGAAAGTTCCAAAGCCACAATAGCTAAATAAAATAAGCAACTTAAAATTACCAAACCCAAGTAATATT